TACCTTTGGAAAGGAATCATTAATCCATTGAGGAAGTGAGTGTTATAAGTTTATAATATTGGGTTACTATAACTGATTTAACTAGTTTTCCTGTGTCATATGTATAGGTATGGGTTAGCAAGATATGAGTCAATAATGGGATTGAGAGATAGTTTAGAAGAATTTGGTAGAATTAAAGGAGCCAAAACTGATGAAAAAGGTAAACTATATGACATTATCATTAATGATTGTCATTATTATTATTAGATCCTGAAGAATTTCTTAATCTTTTGTTTAAGGAGGTGCTTCACATACCTCCATTTTTGACCATTAAGTAATTAATTAATATTATCATTATTTTATTAATAGCTATTACAATAGACGTCCTTTTGGAATTGAAAAGGAGTTTTTCATTCAGCTGTTCTTTGAGATTGATCCTAATGATACTGAAGTACCTAAAACAGAGAAACTGATAGCACAAATGTTTCATGAACAAAACATCTCATTCACTAGAGTAAGTTTATGTTACTTATCGTAACTTGTGATAATTATGACACTTGATGTGTAGGTTCCTTCTAAACTGTTGCTTCAGATGCCACGTTTTGGTAAAGAATTCAAAATGTACAACAAAATAATTCCATCACTGACACTTGATGTGAAACCATTAATGGACCCCAGTAAGGAACAAATAGTAATGCATTTATTTTTAATTTTGTAAAGGTACAAGGGGAAATCAGAAATGTAGACTCTGTCTAAGTGATTCAGTATCTTCTGTTTGTTACACTTGTCCTAAGGAATTTTTCAACATTACTGATCGTTATGTTTATTATTGTTCTAAGTGTAATGAAAGAGTGCATCAAGGGCGTAAAGGTCATCATGTAGAAGCTATAGATATTAGGCCTGGGACAAGTGATGCTACACATTTTTCAAAGATGGAGTTGCTGTCAGTGATATGTATTGAGACCAGTCATTATGTGTGCTACACTAGAGCAGGAGATAAATGGCTCTTTCATGATAGCATGGCTGATAGATTACGTAAGATTAGCCACATTGTACTATTCTTATTATTATTTTCAATAGATGATATGTACAATGTTCCTAGAGTGGTTGATGTTACTGCTGAGTTACAGGAGTGGATCTACTCCCGTACTGCTAGTGAGGATCGATTGATGAATACTCCTGCT